TGTGTGTGAGAGAGAAAGAGAGTTAGAGTTCAGTGCTCATAATGGAATATGTGTGTGTGTGTGTGTGTGTGTGTGTGTGTGTGTGTGTGTGAGAGACAGAAAGAAAGAGAGTTCAGGTTAAGGCTGAGCCGTCAGTGGCAGACAAGCCCCGTCAAGTCTCTCCTCCGTCTAACACACTCAGCCTCTCGCCTCGGGAGGTGAGAAGCTGCTAATTGGCAAAGGGTGAAACACACACACACACACACACACACACACGAACACACATGGGCTTACGGTCAGTTACAGCTACACAAGTACACACACACATTAGAGCAAGAGACAGACAGACAGACATACAAAGAGACGGATGGACGCAGACGTCTGGTTCTGAGAAGCAGTCGTACAATGAGCTGTGTGAACACACACACACACACACACACACACACACACACACACACACACACACACACACACACACACACACACACACACACACACACACACACACACACACACACACACACACACACACACACACACACACACACACACACACACACACACACACACTGCAAGCTGCTAGAAGAGAATACATTACCTTCTCTAATAATACACAGTGTCTGCCTGGTAACTGACAACTCGACCTTCTTACTCTTTTATTATTTAAAGACGTTTTTTTTTATTCACTTCTGTATTAACAGACTTTTACCTTTGCAGTTTAGCTTGCACACACAGCTGAAGTCAAAAAGGGAAAGCGTTTCCTCCTCAGTTTTGTTCTTTGGTTCAGATAAAGGTTGAATGCAGAATCAGGCTGCAGTCCCAATGGGAGAGAATCCTCTCTACGGACAGGGCTGGGCGATATGACCTCAGACTCATTCGACGTACTCTGTTGTAGCTTTTGCTTCTTTTTTTTTTTTAAACTGACAAAAGTCTTAGATAAATGACAAGAAATCAGCATCGACGTCAGTAGTTGGTATAAAACTTAATATTGTTAGCATGTTGTCATGCCAACCCACATAACAACTAAATCATTCAGGCGAAAATATCAAATCAGATAATCCTCTCAGACTCAAATGATCTGCATGTTTGACTGAATCATTCAGATCATTTAAAAACATTATGCTCCATTGTAAAACTTTTTTTTTTTCCAAAAATGAATTCTGTTCAGGGAACTTTGAAGTCTAATGTTGCTCGTGCTGTACGTGAGCTGCCTGTTTCAAACAAAGCTCAATATAATGTACAGAAAAAAAGGTCAACATAGAGATGATTGACACTTGAGGCGAACCCCAGTATTACCTCTTAAGACTTTAATTCCCATAAGGATTAAACAGTACGACACCCTGACTTGATGGCAATTATTACCTGTCTCCATGCTTTCACATGTACATGCATCATCATCATCATTATCCACAGGTGTCCTTTTACTGAACCCAGCTTAACAAGCTGGAACTACCCAGCTCACCTCATCAGCACAGCAGCAGCCTAGCAGAGGAAACATGTCAAAGAAATGCCACAGCAGCTACCTTCACAAATCTACTGTCATCGCCGATAGATGCGACACAAGCATCCAAACTCCACGAGCTGGAGTCTGTCAAAAACTGTTTACGCTAAAGTTCGTACAGAAGTGAAAGAGTGGGTAAATGAGACAGAAAGCATGAAAGGAGAGGGAGCGCGTGTAGGTCACAGACAGTACCACAGACAGGAAGGATGCCAACAAGGCAATGCAGACAGTACGAAAAACAAACCCTAAAAAGAATTTAAAGCTTGGAGGAGCCTCATCTATAGGTCCCAGACTGAAACATTCACATGAGTCAGGGTAGGCAACGAGGGGGCTATCAGAGTAAATCAGCAAGGTAAGAAACCAAACATAAACCAAACATAAAAGTATGCACTCAAGTCCTTTATGCAGCTCAGACAGAGGACAAAGCTCAGAAATCAAAATAATATAAACCTGATCAGCAGGCTGGAACACAAAGCGCTCTGTCGTGTATATTATCACATCATGATTTTAAATGACTGTTAGCTTCAACCACATGGCCATTGGTCTGCATGATGACGTCAGTGGTTGCTGCTGGAAGTTAAACGAACCCTAAAAAATTTTCCAAAAGTAGGCCAGCAGTGGGTTTGTTTGTTGTAACAGATGTGATATAAAAAATGATGTTAAACCAGACGAGCAACATGAACGTTTCCCCTCTGGGCAATGTGAGATGTAAAAACAGGTTAAAAAAAAAATAGTTTAAAATGTATTTAGGTGGAAAGTGTTTTAACAGGTCGTTGCAGGCATGAGACGTAAATGCATTGCTAGGCAGCATGACGTAGCACTGGTCTTTTATAACATAACATTAAGTAAGGTCTTTTTACCTGCTCTTTTATAACATAACATTAAGTAAGGTCTTTTTACCTGCTCTTTTATAACATAACATTAAGTAAGGTCTTTTTACCTGCTCTTTTATAACATAACATTAAGTAAGGTCTTTTTACCTGCTCTTTTGTAACATAACATTAAGTAAGGTCTTTTTATCTGCTCTTTTATAACATAACATTAAGTAAGGTCTTTTTACCTGCTCTTTTGTAATGTTAACATAACATTAAGTAAGGTCTTTTTACCTGCTCTTTTGTAATGTTAACATAACATTAAGTAAGGTCTTTTTATCTGCTCTTTTGTAACATAACATTAAGTAAGGTCTTTTTACCTGCTCTTTTGTAATGTTAACAGACAAAGAGTAAGGTATTTTACCTGCTTTTTGTAAAGTGTCTCGAGATAGCACTTGTTATGAGTTGACGCTATACAAATAAAAATTGATTGATTCATTGATTGATTACATTTGAGACAGAAATAGAAAGATAATCACAAATTAGGAGAAATTGTGTTGACAAGGTTGAAAAAAAACACTTAAATGTAGAATTAAACACCTGTAAGATATGATCAGACACGCACTGCACTATCTGGGGTCTGCAGATGTCTGAGTCTGTTAAATTTCAGTGTCAACTATTATAAACATACATAATATTTATCATGAACTTTTTTAGTGAAAAAAAAAAAAAAGGCTGTTTGTGGATGAATGTTGATATTACATGGTGGTGCCTGACCCACCCTGCAGCACTCACACTCACACACACACACACACACAGGTCAGCATCATGCAGCTCCTTGGTGACACCTGCCTCATCATGCATGCCTCATTTGCATAAAAAAAAAAAGTTGTGTAGCCCCCCCCCCAGCCCTTAAACATGACTGACAACCTCAGGGTATTACATTTCTAATCCAGTTTTTGCAGCTAGCTTGTCCACCACACCAAACAGGAGAAAACAGCCAACGACACAACAAGACAGACAGAATAAAACACTTGTGTCTGTCTCCACTCTAGTGCATTAAATGTTGACAGGGGGGGGGTCATGGGCAGAGGGAGAGGCAGACAGAGACATAGCGGTGCTTGGTTGCTGTGGCCCCCTGTGGATGGATGGGAGCCTAGCCTGCATGCTGCTAACTTAGCCATTAGCTTAGCTGTGCTGTCTGGCGCAGCTTGGAAAGCAGCTCCAACAACTCCCATCAGCAACTTCCACTGTCTGGCCCGAAGTCAGACCCGACACCGGACAGCCCGACTAGCCTCTGCAGCTAGCACGACCACCAACACCTCTGACGCCGCCTACGTGCATTACATGCATTAAAATACATCAGTGTAGAGGTAAAAACTCAAGAAAACGTCACTTGCTTCCTACCTGTAAATGCAGTCGCTAACGTGCCAAGTCGCCGTGTCTGCCTGTTAAAAAGTCAGTGATGTTGTGTTGCTATACGTCAAGTCCAACTGCACTACAGTGGTTTCCAGTCTGGGAAGCAAAATAAAGCTCAGCTGCCCCACTGTACAGGACACGCTGCTGACAGCCGCGACTCCAGCGAGCCTTTGGCGACACCTGCAGGTCACTTCGTGCATTGCAGCCGTCTAACTAAAAGTTACTGTTCTGTCACAGGTCAGAATCATACATATATGCAGCAGTTTATATAAAAGTGTTTCATTTAATAATTAAAAAAAAAAAATAGCTCTAAGGTTCAGAACTTTTCCTTTCTTTTTTCTATATGCAGTTTAATTCAGCTCACAGTTCTTTTTCTTTCACACAAAATAATGGAAAAAAATTCAAAGCATCCAGTAGCAGGTTACAAATACGTACATGGCATGAAACATTAAATTAAACCACAAAACATGACACCCCCCCTCCCATACATATATATTAACCCGAAAAAAGATTTAAATACCACTAGATGAATCAAACTTAAACTGTGCAATTAAAAATAGATTTATACAAGAAATGTACATAACCCGTTTAAGAATAAAAATATATGTGTAATTTAAAGCAAGAACCTATAAACAGTTGAGGGAAAAAATCTGTAATTATCAGCTCTCATATATTATATATCATGCCAAGTGTTCCTAAAGAAATAGCAAGAAATAGCAGAAATATAGGTAAAATATTAAATTAAAAAAAAAAAAAGGAATAAAGCGAGATGCTTGGTGGTTTATCTATTCCTGTGTTAAAAAGCACTTTACAAATTTTATTCCAAGTTAACTCTCCTACAGTCTCTTTCAGATCAATACTTACAAAAATACTTCCAGGAAATAAAGTCCTATAAAGTTCAACATGCAGTTTAGGGAGTGGCCCAAAAATCAAGAAACACTATTAACTGAGCTGAGAATTTTGAAGCGCCTTAAGTGAAGTGACCCGTTTTGTTTTTCATGTGAAGTGGGACTTTAAACAAGATCAGTTTTTCAAAGTAATCTGTAAAAAACAAGGTCATGAAGAGTTTACAGATATTATTAAAGTAACCCCCTGAAGAAGTATTCAGTTTCCATATCCATGTTGTGTTCGTCGGGTCAGCGGTGAGGTGAGTGGTGACCTCATTCTTATCCTTCCCAAGCAGATCACAAGTAAATGTTTTCCTGTTATATTTCTTCCATCAATACTTTTTTTGGGAACCGTCTGCCTCACCGACAACAATACAGAAAATGTAAAAAGAAAAGCCAATATTCATAATCACAAACTTTATTCAAAATGTGTACATACAATTATATATTACATTATATACTATTTAAAGAATGTGCAAATTGTAACTCAAACAATGTCAGGATAGTAGGCAGGGTACATTGAGAGACGCCTAAAGCCTGCTTTTTTAATCTTTATTTAAGCTCTATCTACAAGCACGAACATCAAATGTTACACTAGTGTTTTTCATTTCTAATGTGTGACACCGACAAGCTTAACAGTACATCCTTGATCACATTTACCTGACTCTCCCTATGCCCTTCCAGTGCCAAAACCCGTTATGGATGTAACTCCAATACCCCAAAGCAATATTGGCCATTTGCCCAAGAGCCAGAAGAGGAAATGGGGAGCTAATTTTCTGTGACTGGAGCAGTGATTAACACTGTTTTGCCATGGTAACCATACTAAGCAGGCCTGGCAAGCTGCCGAACAAAAGCCCACCACTTTTAGCATGTAATAACAATCATTAAGCATCCCGATGTTGCTGCGAGCTGCCCTGTTCATGACTAAATGAAATGCATCTGGACTGCTTGGAACGAGCCTTGGAGGTTGCTGGGGAAGTCAACACATGGTGCTGATAAAAGTTACTGCAGGTGGGCGATGCATGATGAGGAGTCACTTAGATTATATGGTGGAAAAATGAATTCATACATTTCTGGTTGTCCTTTTCCAATCACAAGTTCATGACACATGTTTTTTTTTTTTTTTTAATCTGGTGTCAAACTAGGGGGAGAAACATGACATGTCCTGTTTTTAAGATTTTTACTTTTATCCAGAAATAAAACACATTTTTTTTACCTTTTCCAGAGGCAAACAAACAAAAGAATCCTAGCAGTGGGTTACCAAACAAGAGACAAAGGCATTCCTTTGTGATCAACTCAAAGTAATCCCCAACATAGTCTAACTGGTACTGTCTGGCAGGGGCCAAAGCAACAACAATGCTGCCTTGTGACATGACTTGGGGGTTAAGACAAACACCAGATCCAGAGTCAAGTGACAAAAAATCTTTAAGTCCCAGAAATGCAAGACTGGTGCAGAATAATTGTGAGCCAGCCTGACCAAATCCTTCAGCTTCAGGCACTAACAGGCACAATCATTTTTCACAGGCTAACTGAGGACACCTGTGCCACATCCAGAGGCAGATGGGTCTGTGTTGGCAGTGAGGTCTCAGTCATCTCCAGTTAAACAGCTACAGTCGACGTCAGCAAATATGATGAGAGAGAAGATTTTCATCAGATTTCAAGGTAGCCTTTATTTGATTGGGTTTTTTTTTTTCCTTCAGTTCTCTCTGTTACCCCGTGTCTGCTCCATGATGATTGGTACAGTATCCTCCCAGTCGGTATGAGGAGGTGGCGTAAGTTGGTAGATGGTGAGTTCAAGGTAATGCATCACCGGTCAGCTGAATAACAAGACTTCCACTTGTTTCTGACTGGATGAGCAGCAAGCCCGTGTGTCTGCCTGCAGTACTGGGCTTGAACTGGACAGGTAGCTTCAGATAGTGCTGTGATCTAACGGGTGTGGAAGAGGAACAGACAGTTAAGAGTCTACAAATAGATAGTTATTTTAAATTGTGAGTAAGTATGAAGAAACACATCAACACAGATTCACATGCATGTTCACATAAAAAGAAAAGCAAATAAACATCTGCTCAATTTTCTGAATTAAAAAGAAAATAATATCCAGTGTCAGAATCTCTTCTTTAGTCCCTTAAGAAGCTAAAATCACTCCTGTTGAGTTTTACCGAGATTATCAGGGTTTGGGTTTGAGTAATGTGGAGATGCTCGTGTAGATTGTATTGTTAGACTCAGAAGAAGATAAGACTTTTTCTTAATTCTGAGATAATTATCTTGATAATAAAGAAAATCAGAGCAGATTTTTACTTTCTCAAGTGAATGCAATATGCTTCTTTAGGACTGCACTATACTTCTGCTAATAGTATTAAGTATCCTTAAATGAAAACACAGAACTCATATCTATGTGCACGACCCAAAATGTTTTCGATCATGAGTAGAAAGCAATGGTATATCACTATTGTGTGGATGAGGTGCCAATAGAGTTGTTCCAATACTAATATCAGCCTCCGATCCTAAGAAAGCCTAAAATGCAGGATGAGGTATTGTTGAGTCAACCAGGCGATTGAATGATCCAATACTGAAAGTTAAGCTCTCCAGAAAAGACTAAAAAACTAATTAAAACTAATTCATAAGCCCAGATCTAAACGGTAGCCTTTAGAGCAACTTGTGCTGTGAAGCCACTAAAAAAAGTGTTCAGATCATTGCAGCTATTAGACGCACAGAAGAAATAATTTCAACTAATTTATCATGTGACAAAAAGGAAACTCAACAGTGTGGAGCTGTCAGAGACTGTAAGGTTAGAGTGAGCCAGCAACACTGAATGAGGCAGTTTCACATAAAAAAAAAAAAAAAAGATCAGCCTTTCTCTGACACTTTGGCAGTTACAGCACATCTGGAGGGCCTATGAGTCAAGCTGCAGCTAACTTTAGCAGAGTTGTGTCTAGGTATGCTGCTTGTTTCCAGCTCAGAAACCCTTCAGTATTCATCATTCACAACACTTTCCAAAAGCAAATCAAATGTTTCTTTCTCTCTGAAACTAAACAAAGAAAACTGATGAGGACACTAAATAAAAAAAGGTTATTGATGTGAGTCTTTGGATGCACTTTAGGTATCAGAAAGGAATAATATTGGAACATCTCAAGGTGAAAATGAGAGTATAACGTAATAAGAGACACATTAAGCTTGTACCACCACACAACTGTTTCAAATCCACAACCAGCAGGTTCACAACACTCATACTGCAGGGATGTGTCAGGTTCAGGGTGGAGCTACATGACACAATTCAAACACAATAGCATGTCCAAAGCTTTCTGTTTGATCCTGCAATTTCTATATTTAAATTGTTGTACCACTCTCAACTTGTTTCTATTAATTTCTTACTTCAACAATGCACAGCACACATTCTGAAGCCTCCACACACGTCAACAGAGCACAGCCCAGCTGATACCTGGGGCCAGGCAACCTCACCCAAAGGCCTCAGCAGTGAAGCAAAACACGAGTGCTCCCCAAAGACTCAAGTGGGTGTACCTTCCAATCATCCTCTGGGTGCCAACATCTCATAATACCTCCCATAGTGAGCATTAACAATAGAAACATAGCATTATACAAATTCAGAGTTATATGAAGAAGTTGGTTTTGACAAACATAGACCATTCCTGACTTGACGTTCGATATCTAACAGACTACTAATAAAAACTTATGAATAAATATATTCCACAGTATATGATTAAAAATAGAAACAAGTAAACACTAACAGGTGGCGGTTCATTTAAAAAATGAAAAACATTGTATTCTTAAGTGTCTATCTTTGCAGAGAACAGAATGAAGAGTTTCTGTCAGGGATAATGACCATTCGACTCACCTCAGGGAATATTTGGAATGCTTGATGTGGAAGGGCTCCCTAGGGTTTACAAATTTCAGCTGCAAGTCAATTAGAGAAGCCACACATCAAATATTAACTCCATGCAGAGCACAGTGGCATTTGTTAGTGGTTATTACATTTTGCTTACAATACGAAGCAATCCAGTCTGGCGTGCAACTTTTATTAGCAATAATGAATGACACTCTACACACATATATATATATATATATATATACACTCCATTTCTCACAGTAGAGCTGAATTAAAAAAATGACATTGTAGAAGTACCAGAGTGTGGGTAGAGAATACAATTAAAAACATGTTAGCAATACATAATGCCAAAAAGAAAATAACAGAGAGGTAACCCTACATTAATCAGGAGAGGCTGCACACCTACCATCATTTTT